TACATAACCAACTCAAGTATTTCTAAATAAAAGACTTTCTGACCCTCAATTTCTTTGTTAAATTAAAAAAAAAAAAAAAACATTCTGAACATCATGTTCCTGTGTTGTGGTATGATCTTTGCCATTCTCTTAGCGTTAAGGCACTTTCACGCCAAGAACAATAACTGCTAACTATAACGATGACTATATTAGTGTATTTATTGTAAGCATGCGCTTACATATTGTAATTATGTCGTCTGTCGCTTTAAATGCTCAAGCTCTGATTGGCTGTCAATGTTTTTATTGTTTATCAGCTGGACAAAAATAATTTTGAGTCATACCAAAATATAGCTACTCTGTATCCTTATCATTTTGCCTGTGATGTGGACCGGATTATTAAAACCTTTTAGTTAATAGTTATCCCTGACAGCACATGTACATCACAGAGACGTCTATTTGACGTCTGCATTACATCTGCAAGACATATTTTTTTAAAGTGTTTGCTCATAAGCAATACGTCTCTAGGATGTTTCCTATCAGATGTCAAATAGACGTGTTTATGATTTAGAATGTTTGATTGAATCAGAGGTTGGTACACAGCAGATGCTTTCCAGATGAAGCGATCTTTAACAGACATCTTGCAGACGTATGTGTGCATCTGGGATCATACTTGGTGTGAACCAACCTCGAGACAGTTATGTCGTCTGCTGCTTTAATATGCTCAAGCTCTTTAAAATCCGGTGGATTGTGTTCGGCTTTTATAGTTGTGGCGTGGACTTTGCTGTATTCTTTTAGAATAAAGGTGTATTCACAACAAGACTATTAGAACGGATGATAATGATCTATTTATCATAAGTACATGCAGCATGTCATCTGTTGCTTTAAATGCATGATATTTGATTGGCTGTCAATGTTTTTATCCCTCATTAGCTGGAAACAAAGAAAGTGTTTGCAATATAGTTCCTCTGTGGTGATATTGTTTTACTGGACTTTCCTATTCTCAGAATTAGAAGGATTATTAAAACGTTTTAGTTATCAGTATAGTTATAACTCTTGGTGTTGACAGTCCTTTAGAACAATTACTAAAACTTTATACTTTCATTTATTGTTACTGCATTGGTGTAAACGGACCTTAAGATGCTTTGTCGAGCTAAAAGAAGTTCTCCAGACCCTGCGCTTAAACAGGTGAAGTTTTAATCTGGTGCTCATGGAGCCATGCTGAAAAAACAGCAAGACGCAGCACAAAGCACGAAGATGTGTATGTAGTGCATATTTACACAGAACACGTTCTATGTCAAATGTATAAACAAGTAATCCAGCTGGGGGATATTTTCTGCCTGCTTCCCTCTTCCTCCGTCCAGCACTGTGCCCAGCTTCCGTTAGCGCTGGCAGTGCAAGCGTGCAAACTTCTTAAAGATTGTGGACACTTTGGAGTGTTTCAAGCTCTTGGTGCATAAAGAAGATCTGTAAAGTTGCAATGACTAAAGTCTCAAATCCAAAGCGATATTCTTTATAAAAGTTAAGAGTCAACCACACCTACCTAAAACGGCTTGTTCTAACACACCCCCACATATCTACGTCACGATGTGGTAAGATTTGCATAATGCCACCCAAATGTTCACGCAAAGAAAGAAGGCGTAACTTTTATTCTCGCTGTAGTATTGTTGTTGCCAATGCCGCCATGTTGTGAAGACGCTGTGTGTTTAGTTGTGAAAGCGAAACTACTTTGTTTGGGCTTCCAAAAGAGGACGATATCCGCTTTGTCATGCCTGGAGCTGATCTGTGCTGGTCGCTGAGGAAATACATCAACTTCGCGCTGTGGATCGCCGGATCGGCTTTCACCGTGGACGAAGCGGAGTCCAGCCTGGGGTTGTCACATGTGGTTGCCGCAAGCCCGCCGGACACTCTTTTGTCGAATCCGCAGGCCTCCGCTCACTCAAGGCTGCCGTTTGTGACGCTGTGTTTCGTTGTC